ATGTATCAACGGCTGTGCTCAAAGAACTGCCCTGTAATTGTGGGTGGACATTTCGCCATCGAGAATGGCTACACAATTGGTCTGCCCCCACTTTCATGCAACCTTTTCTCTGAAATGCGTTGTGTTACAGTGTCCACGGGGGCCAAGGAATAAGACAGTCGTGCACTAGTGGTCCATTCGGCCTCGCCCAGTGCCAACTCCACAAAAACTACCACGCCATGGCAACTGCACCCCGGAATCTGCTGTGTGCGATGGAAGCCCAAGGTGGTGCGCAGCATGCACCTAAGAAGCAGATCTGCAAAAGATCCCTCATGCGGTGGTTGAGTGATGCCCTCACGATATGTATTTAAAACCAGCTGCAAAGCGCAAGCACACTGGAATGCGCCCAGCCTCAAAATGATGCCATGCACTCATCACGAGTTGTGACATTTTGCACAAGGCAAAATCGTCAGCATGCTCCAGGGCACATCAATCATGAACACGCAGGCGGCATGGTGTCCCACGCCATACCACCCATTGTTACAACCCTTTCGTGTACACACAGTCCATCTAACCAGCTGTTCTCCCATTCCCGGCATCACCCTCCCACTGATCGATCATTATGGGCGCACACGTGTGCCCCCACACGCTGTCACGGCTCACCACTTTCCGACCCGGCCGACAGTCGGGCCATGCGGATGAAATTCTGCAGGGCGTTCAGGCGTGACTCCACGTCTGCAATATCCGAGCCAGTGTCTGTCACCAGGCGATCCAGTGTGCTGGCGTGCATGCCGTCGTTGGGTGGTGCAATCAGCCCGTCCCCTGCAATAAGGTCAGAGGGCGCACAGTGATGAGATAAGCGGGGGAGCTGCACGTCATGGAGGCCAAAAGCAGAGTACAGACTCAAGCTCTAACGCAACACCACCTGTCACAGATCGGGGCTTTTGATAATGCCAAAACGTGCTGCCCATGCAAGCTGCAAAAGACCCAAGAAAATGTGGTTTAGTGAACGACTTGATTGCTTTCATCATCGTATGCCATTATCGACGCAAGGTGGAAGGGCCCCACTCTGTCTTTTGAACGCAAATATATTTATATTCTAGTACTTTTCGTTAAAGCAAACGAACACAGTATGAATTAATCGTGTTTTGATGCATGGCACATTCAATGCACACTTTGCATACGAATTCTTGGGTGACAAAAGCTGTCTGAATGCACAAGAGAATGAGTGAAATGAGAAGCTTACGCCTTTGTTGTTCCACATGCGCTATGCCCCTTTCTCACCTTCGTCCTCTGCTCTCCTTGTGTATTTGCTCAACATGAGCTTTACATCCTGAAGGGCGCGACCAGGCGAAGCAGAGCGCTTGTCAAGGGGCACATAACCTACGAGCACAGTGATCTACATATCGCTGCTTGCAAACATACATCAGAGTGTCATTTCTTTGTGCTGCACCACTGGACGATGCCAGTCTTCAACAGTCAACGCCTTAAGCGTAATGCAGCGCCACACTGCAGGCTTGACACGACCCAAGTCCAGGCATGGAAAGAGGTTTGAAAAAGTTGGCAATAGATTTGTGTTAATACATCAAATGATGCACAGTGTCAGCGATAATGCTTGTGTCACTTGGCATCAAATGACCGAATTGGTGGGCCCAACCCATCCCCCGGGAAAAAATGAGTGCATTTTTGCCTGCTCTTGTGGTGATTGTGTTGTGTGCTCCTCTTCTTGCACCAGAGCCACTACAGCAACTTTATGGCAAGGAATAGAGTCTGACACACACTTGCGTACGATGGGTTGCCCTTTGCATATGACCTGTTGCCTTTCAACTTGCACCCTATCTTACACCACGCACCCCCACCCACCCTCAAGCATCAACGTTTTTCACAGGACACCAAAATCGACACGTCGTGCACTCCCTTGCGAGATAGTGCGCGTATTGGAGTTCTTCCACCATTTGCACATACCATTCGTCGTGGAGCGACCATCAACTATGCCAGCATCGCTGGTTTCTTGATTGTTCGACTTCTGTGACCTTGCCGACGGGCTTGAACCACAAGCTCCCCCTGCAACATGAACAGAGATTCAGTTTCTGCAGACTCGAAGAAATCCCAGCAGTTGCTGCCCTTGGAAATGCTGCAACCATCTTCAGTGTCCCACACTGGACACAAAGCCAGTTTTCCAGGTCGGGCATGCAATGAGCCATTCAGCTTCCAGTCTCATATTTCAGACGCCTTCTTTTGGCAGGTCTAAACAAAAGAGAGCGACAGCTTGGCTTGACTCACTTGGCTTGCTGCGCAGCTTGGCGCGGCCAAAGTTGGTTGTATGGCTTCGGCCCCCTTGAGGCGCTCTCTTCGGAGGCGTCTGCCGCATCATCCCCCTGTCGCTGGAGTCCCTGGGGGATCTCCACTGGCGTTCAGCACTGGATGAGCGACTGCCTGCAGTCACACTTCATTATTCGACGTCTTTCACCGTTGGGCGCTCATGAACGAATTGAGTCCTCAAGCCAGGAGCCTCATCACAGTTGCAGATGCCACAACAGGTTAACGTCGCCTTCACATCATCCTTTTGCTGAGTCAGCCAGAATATCTTCATCGTTTAAGTAACTACATAAATGCACCATAGCTTCCTCACAGCTGCAAATATAAAGCTATGCATGTACACTGCATCTGGTCAGGAAACCCATGACAGATTCAGCTGGCATTTTTAAGTTGCAAATTCTCAAATGCCGCAACAGATCTGCTGATGTTGCGGTATGGCTTCAAGGGACACGTGGTGGACTTTCAACACTTGGACGCATGCAGTGCAGCAGTTAATAAAACAATGAGCACAAAGGGCAAAGCGCTGTGCAGGTCCTAACCTGCACTTGAGCTGCGCGCTGACGACCCAAAGGATGGACTGCGGCGGCGCATTTCAGTGGCTACTGCAGCCTGACGCTCCCTCTTGTTTCGAACGTATTCCGTGGGGTCGAACCTGTTGCGACCCGGAGCAGATCTGGGCCTGCCTCGCCTGGGGGGCAGCTCATCGCCGCTGGATTGACCTGCGGCAAATTCACATCAACAACGTTTTGCTCCCTCCTTGAATTTGTTTGCATCAGGAAATTCCAGAAGCAATCGAGGTGCTGTGAAGACCACTGGCGTTCAAGGAATGCCATGTTGACAGTAACTGCCTGAGCAGCCAACGCTAAGATGGTGTGACTGATGCTCAGTTTGGAAACAGCCACAAGCACATCCAGTAAAGTGCAGTAGCAGGCTGCTGTGCAGTACACTCTGTCCAAATCTCTAGTCGCTGCGATGAAGCCCAACAGCCCATCACCAAGACTCAAGACTGCATGAATGCCATTTTTGGCTTCATGCTAATCTTCACAATGTAATGCCCATCCCCTGTTTCATAGGTGTCAAATGCTCAACGAGCACCTGCCGCTAGTATCAAGGCTACACTTGCACGCATGCATTTATTCTGGTTCATCCCATTCCAAGTGTACAGAACAGGGCTCCCACTCCTCCACACGCATCTCATCGACCGCCCAAAAAGGCAAGTCGTAAAAAAGCGAAGGCATTTGCCCATATGTGGGCATGTATGTTGTCAGGCCGGGGATATTCTGTCCTATTACTACATGTGGCACTGTACCTGTACACTTTATATGGTACTGGCAGTTGATCGTGTACTGCACACTGCTGACTACGAGCCTGGGTGTTTGTAGGTAGCACGGCACAGCAGGGTCTTCCTTCCATTGAGGAAACGCACCTTGCGAACTTGAAGGGCAGGTGCCCCTGCTGCTACCTGGATGGCTGCTCCTGCAACAATCCAACAACTTTGGCCATCACGTTGGGGACAAAATGAAGGCAGTCATGGTGGCCATGCTTCCAGAGGCATCCACGCCACACACCACTGTGGGATCACAGAGCTCAACGGCTTTCATGAGAGGTACTTTTTTCCTCAATTGAGAGGTAGCTTTTTTGTGTGTCGCTGCTGTCGAGCAGACTAGATGGAGGCACCTACAAAAGATGTGCTCTATGGGCATTCTGTTCTGGCAGTTCTCCAACCAAGCTCACAGCCCATGGAACCCATACCCTTATTGGGGCCAATGTTGTGCACCTGACAGGGTGTGTGTTGTATAGTTTCAACGGCTGCAGTAGCAGCAGGCAGCATGTGCATTTGCAATCGAATAGTAAAAGCTCCTTGACACCCCTCCGCTGGCCAGTTTTGCCACAGATACCAGTCCCTGTTTCTGCCCCAACATGGATGCAGCCTGCATACCTTCCAGATGATCTTCTTCCAGCAATTGATGAACGCTGAAACTCAGGTTGCGACCTTGCAAGCCCACCCCCATACACAGACCTGCAGTCAAACAGCAGTCACCTCAGCCAACCTTCTGAGCTTCAAATCTACAATAGCAGCCACGTTAACAACACAGCAACCCTTTCCTATAGTTCGCTGGCTTCCATCTCTGAATCTGGTTTGTGTCCCTGTGTCCTTGCCACTGGCTCAAAGAGGCTTCACATGACCATCATTTACCAACGGCAATTGTTGCTCATGTTTGATTGAAACGCATGCCAACACCGAATGCAATCATGTCAAGCGCACCAAATGGTGGGCTGTGATGCCATCAATGCTACCAATGCTGTACCTGCTTTCCTATGCTGGAAGGAATGATGGAAGTTAACATCAAACATGGATATTGGTGGTCTTGATGGTACGTATACGGAGGCACATAGCATGACCAATGGCCACTGTATCTTGCTACTTCCAGTTGGGAAACATCCCCTCAGTCATTCATTCAGCTAAAGCAGAATGTGCACCTGTATCTGGCCAGTTTCCCGCCTGGTTGGGCCAACTCCACCTCCCGCATCAGCTCACGGCACTTCAGGCGCTGCTCCCTCAGTTGATCTTTGCATTGGTGGAGGTCGTTATTCAGCTGAAAGGTCCCAATCGAATGCACGATGTTATGCAAGCATCAACAGGTCTGGCCATCTCTTCGCACTGGGACTCATTGTGGCCCTCCCCATGCAACAATTGGAGCTGCACATGTGTGTCCATGCCTAACTGCGATGCAGAAACTGCTGTATTCTTGTGGTCATCGCAAGTTTGGCCAAGGGTCAAACCAGCACACGAGACACCTGCCAATGCTGGCAGGAATGTCCATACATGCTGTCCTCAGGCAAATCCAATGGCATATCTGGTGCACTGCACAACACCAAGAGTATGTTCCAGGGCCAGTTGTCAGGTATGTTCCTCTGCTTTGCTCTGTCTACTGTCATCTGCACCTCCTGGATCTGCTTGGCTTTCCTCCTCAGCTCCCTTCTATGCAGTCCCCTCTCTCTTTCCAGCTCTGCCTCCGAGCTCTCTGCACGGGACTGAAGCAGGTCCCTTTCCTTTTGTACCTGAACACAGCATTATTTACCCGTTCAGCTGGTGGTCAACATCTTTCTACCCCATTTTCAGCTTGGTATCTAGACTTTCCTGTCATTTGTCCACCTTTCTGCACCTGCAGCCTTCTGCACAATGGCGCAACTTAAGAGGTGGTGAATTCATTCCAGTTGTGCTGACTTTCAGTGGATGTGATCATGCCTTGTTATATCCCTGTGGTTGTCGCAGGGAGGCACATTTCCTTTCTACTCATGGTCCACTTGTCAACATTTGCAGGCAGATCCAACCCCACCAGAGCATGTATGCCTCCTTCCGTTGTGCCCTGCCTCGACAGAATGGCACCTCACAGGGTCCTTGAATAGGGAATGAATACATGCACTTCCAACACACACATACAGCTGCTCTCATGATTCGATTTCCACTGACTATAAAGTTGTTACAACATGACAAGGCTCTCTTCAGTGTGGCGAGAGTTTGTGTGGTGAGGGTTTGTTTGGTGGCAAGGCAATGCAAGTTCCACTAAAGCATGGGAGATCAGTCCATGGACGATGGGCCCCAGATCGATGTTGTTGTAGTTTCCAGGCAGCTTCTGTTTTTCTTCTCATTCTCTTCTCAGTTTATATCATTCTCTGAGGTTTGTGGCTCGTCTGTCTATGCAGCACTCTGTCCAGCGCAATGGCATGTCCACACCCAGATAATGGACCGCTCTGTTCACATTCACTGTCTGTTGCAGGGCCATTGTGTGCCCACCAATCCACATGCATTATTGACGATGCTGAAACTGGTGCATTGTGCATTACGCAGTGGGCCGCGATGTCAAGGCGATTCCACATCGAGACATACAAAACAGCAATGCAGCCTTGTCACAGGGGGCCAGAATCGAAAGATATTGCAGGCCAATGCACACCAGCCTTAGTTCTCGCAAGGCATCCCTGGAAGACTTGTCCAAGCTATTGGCCGCCATATTCTCCTGTTTTGCATTCTTTCTGGCTGTTCTGAGTGTCCTCCTCAAAGAATTGTTTTCTTCCTGCAGTCGTTGAACCTCATCGAGCTGCCCACTTGGCCAGTGGTTGTCGCCTTCTGGCTGCAACAGGGTTAAAGTTGATCAGCATGTACACTGAAGCCATCGAGGTCTGACAGAGCCAAAGCACGTCAACTCTTGATGGCCTCCATGTTCCTTTCCTTTTGGACCCTCAACCTTTTAAAGCACGGCCACATAGCCATACAAGATAAAAAGGCCAGGTATCTTCTGTGACTTACACTATCGAAGGCAAAATGTGCGGCATACAGTTGTCACACTACCTGGAAGCCAAAGCTTACCATCTGCTCACAGATTATACGAATGCTTAGCCGATTGCTTTATTCAGAATAGCACTCAGTCGCAGAGCACTTGTTTTGGTGGCATTCCTACCAGCTATGACATGCATCAGCCATCCTGAGACGCAGCTGATAAGAACCTGGCAACTGGCGTTGTGTCATCAAAGCTTTCTGTGGAGCTTTCCAACCAGCACACTTCTGCTTGGCTCACAACATGTGCCAAGCATCATCCACCAACTCAGACTCTTTTCAGGCAGAGGAAGCAGCCGCTGCCCACATCGCCTGTGCATGCTATTAACCGCTTTGTGCTGTTCTCACCATCTCCACACCATTGGTGTTCAACCCATTTGCCGCCCTCAGAGCACCCAGTTCGCTCCGCAGATTCCTTATGATTTCCTTCAGCCTGTGTGGATCTGGGTTCTCCTCATACACCAGAGGAAGTGGGTAGTGCACCCGGTCGAATTCTGCAGCATATGTTAGGATCAGGTATCGCTTGTTGTTGGGAGGTATAGTTTGGTGGAGGGGCTGGCCCCCGCCGCCACCCCTCCTACTCTTCAGGGTCTCCAGGTCGCTGTAGGTCAGAAGGTCAATGAACACAGCTTCAGACTGGCCCTTCAGTGCTGTTACCAGCATTTTGATGAAGACGGGGTATTTCTTGAAGTTTCCTGTCTTCGCAGTTATGTCCTCGATGTCTGAAATGGCATTGGACAGGGAATATCAGGCAGAGCACGGGCCAACTGCAAGGAGCTGCCACTAGTGAAAGGACAACAAGCCCAAGTGCGGAAACTACCCATGGGGCCATTGCCAACTGGTCTTGCTCAGGGTGAGGCGTTCGTATTTCTTGACAAGTTTTCTTCATCGATGGCTATCCTGGTTTGCAAATGCCATGCATCAGGATCACAAGCAAATGTTTGTGGATCCACCACCATTGCATGCATAAGAATGGATTGCATTAAAAATTTCCGTTGTGCCGCTGGTGAACAGACAATGCAAGGCCTGCTGCTGGGCGTTGGCCAATGGCACAGCTCGCTCAGCAATGCACAACAATATCACGTGAAGATGGGTTCCACACACACACCACATACCATACACCTTCTACTACCAACACAGGAATGCAAACAATGTCCGCGTGAATCCCTTTCAAGGCAGTTTTCTCCTGGTGCCATGGTCACTCGTGGTGAGGACATCAAGCACAGCCCATTCAAGGCAAGCCGCGAGAGGACGGCCCCACAGGTAGCCCTCCTGCCACTCACAACGTGACGTGAACTCTCCCCTCCAGCGCGAGGCATCGCTGCCGTCCTCCACTTCCACCACCAGAGTGTCCCCCTTCACCGTCGAAACGCTCAAAAAATAGTTGACGCCATGGAAACAGCAGTCCACCTGGGAGCACGCAGCATTCGGTCAGAAACGGGAAGTTTCGCAGCGGGATGGCCACCGGGCGTCTGGAAGCGCAAAAAGCACCGCAGGCCACGTGTGGGCCACGCGCCTTACGCTTTGCAGCGATCTGTCACAGCCCGGCTGAGATAGAGCAGGGGAGGCAGCGATGGCAAGGTCAGGTGCATTGCAACTGTTGGCTGTTGGTAGGTGGCCTAGTGGGGCCTGAGCCCCATTTCGGGCACTCGGAAGACCAACAGCCACAGAGCGGAATGTGCGACGACGCACCGTCTCCGAAATGTCGCTCGCAGCGGGGCCCGCGGGGCCCTTCCCGTTCATGATGGCCGCAGCCTGCGGATCTTCTTTTACGGTTCGAGCGAATGGTCGGATTCTGGGGTTAAGGGGGGACAGGTGCGCAAGCTGGGTCGCTGTTGACAAGCGATGGCTCTGCACCGGCCCAGAGGAGGCCAGAAGGACGTCCAGGGCCTGGGCGGGACTGCAGCCCGACGAAAACCGCCCAGCTATTTCGCTGTACTTGTAGCCTTTTACGTGTTCATTCACCGCAACTATTGTGCCAACTATTGCTGGGGAATATTGTGTGGTCATGGTGGAGAAATGGGGCCATTTTGCAACTAATAAGCCCAGCCAGTGCGAAGTAGGCGGGATTGAGTGGAATACAGACATGCGCCAAAACCATCGTTGGGAACATTGTCTGGTGTTCATGAGACTTGGACATTTTGTAGCAAACGGTCCCAGTCAGTGTGAATTGACCAAGTTCGACAGGGGCCCTCTGGGGCCACATGTGCATCCACCAGGAACATCGCTGACGATGAAGAGTCAACTGGGAACGAACAAAAAGAGCAGCATACGCAAAGCCCGACTGGCGGCCCCAGCCCCTCACCACTCTCATCGCACCAGGGGTTTTTGTGCCCTTACACTGGGAACAGAAAATCCACACTCTTTGCCACTATTAGTGCTTATTCAGCCCTATATGAGTCGTGCTTATCCTTGGCCAAGTGGCTATCGCCACGCAGAGCAATTGAGCCTGGGTACGCTCTAGAACGCAGGTGTACTGCAAGTAACTAGAAAAGAGGGATGGAAAGAACAACACTCACTCCACAAAAAAGAGGGCCCAGCGGCCCATACAGTATGCCCATAGGATGCGCAGCTCACACAACTTCTGGCTCAAATGCCTGGCAAGTACACACTACATGCATGCGCCTAATCGTTTGCAGCCAAGCTCGGCGTCCAATGGGGAGTTCTCTCTTTAATCTCGAGACCAGGGAGGCGCCAGCTCCCTATGAGCTAATGTTTGTATGAACGACCACCCATCTGACTCACCAGTGACGAATCTATAGCCAGACGTATGTCCTCCGTCTCGCTAGCCCGTGGATCTGCCGGGCCCCTGCTTTCAGCAAAGCAGAGCACTCATAGGCCAACGGAATGATGACACAGACAAATTACTTCCAAACATGATCTCTGGGTCATAAGTTGGTGAGCCGGGCGGGTGGCAGGGTTGTTGCTTGTGCCCATGGTACATATTTCTGCTTACGTTCTTACGTATGATGACATATAAGCATAGAACAAACGTATTTAAAAGCATTTTCACGTTGACATGCAATGTACAGGTCGTGCTGGGGAGTTAATTGTCAGTGGACACGTGTTGGTGTAGCTTAGGACTCAAATTCCACATCAGCGGTGATGCTCAGAGAAACGCTAAAGAATGTTAAGTTGAAATTCGCGTCCCAGGAATGCGCCAACCGCCACCCTCAATACCAAGCTTGCAACAAGGTAAGGTCATCGCTGCTGTTCCTGTTCGTGACTGCACATCTGCCTGCCTGTGCCAAGCCCATCATCGATTAGATGCGTCAGCTCAAGGGTTTACTTCTTTTGCAGGGAGAATAGAAGGCTAGCACCCCCAAAGGCAGCAGCTCCTCCCACAGCGCACAGCGCCGCGATGACGAACTGGCCGATGACTGCAGCTGTGGTATCGTCTGGGGTGTAGTATACGACTGCAGGGCCAGCCGCAAGCAATCCAAAGGCAACGGCGTATACGAGGAATGGAGTTGCCCTGCACCATCGTGTGAACAAGCAAACACGTTATTGCCAAAAGGCAAGTAATCATCACGCCAGGTGGCAAAACCAAGGCATGTGTGACAATGGCTTGCACTGGCGTGCTAAGTAGTTCCATTCATGGATTGATGCAGTGGAATACACAAAACAGCACTGTATTACAGCACCATAAGTTTGAGAGGAAAACAGAGACAAAGGAAGCAAAATTTGGCTGGTAACAGTGGCAAGAGGGGCAAGTGGTTGAGTTGCACACTGATATGCAAATAGCATCACTGCGAGCAGCCACACATAGCAGTGCGTACTCAGAGATAAAAGCCCCTGCATCGCAAAGACCGACCTGCTGGACGTTGCAGAAAGCAGTCCCAACTTCTCAGCTATGGACAACAGCCCAAGCTGCTCAATCCTGGAGAGAGTGAGGCCGCTTTTCTCAAGAGTCGAAAGCACACGAGCATCTTCCAGCTTTGTCAAAAGTCTCAGCTTCTCCATTCTAGGGCACCGCACAAACACAACAGGACTAAGTCCATCGCCTGACTGCACTCCATTCGATCGCCAGCTAGATATTCAACAGAATGTTACCAATGAAGATTGCAAGGGCAAGGGAGGGCAGGCAGGTTCACAGACATGAGCAAGGTATTTGCGACATGAATGTCAAACATGATCATGAAGGATGCAGAACGCAATGAATGGCACACGCTGAACCCGCAACCAGTACAGAACATACAAGTGCAGGTGACAGCGCATCGCCACATAAGCTTAAGAATTGCTGGCCAGGTTCAGCAGCGAATGGCTGCAAAGCGTGAAGGTCTCACTTGCTGAGAATACGAGGTGCTGGTGACTCTTGCACAGGCACTTTCTCCCTGAAGTCTTCTTCTGAAAATGAGACATCGATGGTCGTTGGCTGCAGGAGACAGACCAAGCATTCTTCACCGCCCAGGGTTACCCATGCAACTTGACAATGAAGGCAAAACCCCACTGCAGCCCAGTATCCTCACACAAATATCCGCACATCAACCCAAACCAACGCCAAGAATGCATGCCGAGAATTGAACATTCATTGAGATTTCCACCGTCCACGTGGTCACTACTTGAATATACAATCCTGAGCATAGCATTCCATACTCCATCAATGCATTTCAATTGCTAGCACAGCACTGTACCATCCTCCAGCATCAGGATCACCGCCGAAATTGGTTTTCTTATCAAGAAACTTGGTGCTTGGGCTTCAGTTTATCATTGGCAACAGGTGGTGCCCAACACTCTGAATTTTGATATCCGCAACATCCAGAGTCAAGCCATGGCAACAATCCCCACTTTCTTGGAGAATGAAGGCAGACTGATGGTGCCTGTCCTCTTCTTCTTGGCCACGACAGACACAGCCCGACCAGTGTTCACCAAACGAGGTGCTGCTGGCTTACTTCCCACAACTTCAGAGCCACCAAGGGCTGACTTGAAGGTCAGGCATTGGGAATCCTGCATTGCAATGAGAATGAGTCAAGCTCGGCCATCGAACGGCACAAAATCTTGGTGACTGAAAGAATCCATAGCCTGAATGCATGGCCAGCATAGCCCAGTTCAGTGGCAAACAAGGAAACAATGATTCCTTCCAGGATCCAGCTGTGCGGAAGCTCCAAGCTATGCAGCTCATGCCACAGGAAGGTCTGCCAAGCCAGCGGAAGTGGTTGTTTGCATTCATGGCGATTTTCTACAGCTGGAAGGCCATAACTAATGTATGCTAGTGCATTTGGACCACACCAAGGTGCAAGGGGTCCATTCATTACACAGAGGTCAGTGTTCTTTTCCCAAGTACTTTGGGATCTTTGCAGAATGCCAGCCAAATGATGCTGCCTAGAAATCTGGACATCAACGATGTGTCATGACCAGTGTGTCGTTTCTCAAATTGATACGGTGGATACACCACGTCCTTCACCTTGGCAGGTTCTCGGCTACAATCGCAGGCACAAATGCCAACAGACATTCACGGGAGGAGTACTTTTTGTATTTATGGGACACCATCGGCAAGTTGAGGAAACGATGAGTTGTACATCCATCAATTGATGCTGACCAAAAGCAGAGCGCAATCTGGCAACAATATGCAGCGTTTGCAACGCTGTTTGAAAATGCTGGATAAGGCCATTGTTCACATATGGGACACCAGCAGGCACCCTGGAGACACAGAGGCTGAGTCCAAAGTTGATTGCACAGAGAGCATTCCTTGTAGCTGTTGTTCTGAACATTTTGATTCCGTGCTGGTGATGGAATGTATGGTGCTGGTGCTGGTGGTGGCGGCATACAGCTAAAATCACATTCCATGCGCAGCCATTGGCCCCTGACCTTGGCATGCATCCCCAAATTTACAGTGTGGGAACAGGCTGCACTGCAGAGTTTCCTCACCATGGGAGTGTACAGATAACAGCTCCAAGAGACGCGCACCTCAACCCGAAAACTGCCCAGAAACAGGAATAATTCGAGCAATGGTCCTGCGCCACCCCTGGTGCAGTGACGCTCACATAATCCACCACGACATGTACAGAGACGCTCCCGCCAGTGGCCGAAACACTAGTGTGAAGCGAGCAATCTTCCTAAGATCGGTGCTGAAATCAATTTTCCAATGAATTCCCTTGAAGGCGTTCAACCAGCGCAACAGCACCTGAACACACCGCGGGTTGGTGGCAGGATGCCATCTGAATCGCCAGCTGGAAATCCAACCACGAGATTGGACAGCAACGCTCCCGGGCGTAGTGGCTAAGCACTGGAAGAAGGGCGCTGCGCATTGCCGGTTCCTTGCGCGAGGGTACAGCGGCAACTTGGAAAATGCTTCTGAAGCCGACGCATGCGGACAACTCG